CCATGTTTGTTGCTAACCGTGTCAAATCATTTTATGAAACTAACAGGAATATACCCCGGTAGTATATAAATTTAGAGAGCGTGCATGCTCGTCCAACAACAGTATATTAACTAGTTTATGGAACAGTGATTTGAGATGAAAGTCAGCCTTGTTGCAGCGTTGGAATGAAATACTGAACTGAGATGCTATGTGCAATTACGTAATAGCAAGCGAACTATCATTTCCTGTTTATATTTCTTATTCTTTCTAGTATTTATTTACTATTATTATTATTATTTCGTTGTGTGTATGTGTGGATATGGACTTATTTGTCTGAAATAAATAGTATATATATAAACGACATGCAACATTTGTTGTTACTGTGACATGTTACTGAATCTTACACTTATGACAATATAGATGGTCAGCATATTATTGGTGGCGGGACTACACTCATATCAAAATATACCAGCTTGCTTTGGAGATTTATATTCATACCATATATCTCAACTAATATTGGCTTTCTTATCGATGGTATAATCGCGTGATAATTTATTGAGTTAGATAAATATTCAGATAGGAAATTGCGAATGAGATCGGTTCCGATATGATCAGAGATCAGTGATCTAATACGCAAGGTATAAAATACAAAGAAGTGGTATGCTTGGTTTTGCACTTGCATATGTTACCGGAGTCTGAAATACCATATTTACCTATATGATGTTGATTACCATGTCATATTAAAAAGAAAAGAAACAAATTCAATGCAGCTATTTAATCAGATACTATTGTTCCCAATGAAGTTCTATAACTTCTTTACACGAGTATCACCGATTCGTAAATAAAATATAAGCAGTAGACGATGTCATTGAAGCAATTGAATAACTCTTCATTTAAGGTAATACATCACTTCAACTATGTTTCAGCACACTTGAATATGATATACTGTTGATGGCGAATTTAATCGCATCTGTAAGATAAACAGGGTTTTATAGAATAAGTCTATTATTAAAGGGCGGTTGTCATCGCGACACGCATGCGCGAAATATGAATATGTCTCCTATTAACAAAGATGGCGACTTTGACTTTGGCGCAGATAATGAGTCAAACTGAGACGTAACCAAGCTTTAATTAGGTATATTTTAGGTGATTGGTAGGTATCGAAGGAGTCACAGACGATAATTAGTACAAGTCGCGTCGAGGTCAAACCTCATACTTGTGATTCCATTAGAAGAGCGCAATGGATTGTGGGAGAATATTTTTTTATCAACACAAATGTCGCACGTGCGCAGCGCGACGACCGCCCCTTTTAACAATATTAAAAAGATGCACATGTATAATTGTTCACAAAATGGAATTTGAATATGATTATAGGCATATTTCCAATATATATGCACACACGACACGAGATTTGAACTCTCGATCACGACAGGAGGCATATTCCCGCAATCAGACGCAAACGTAACCACCACTACGTCACTCTACCCACCAAAACCAAACTGATCACCCTATTCTGTATGTTTCTATATTCGCAGATCGATTTATTTGTCTAGATATTTATATTTATATTGGCAGTATTTTTTCTTAAATGTGCACATCCTATAAAATTTTATCAAATGTATTCTTTTTCTTCTCGCGAATGTGTTTAGATCCATAACGTGTTTCCAATTAATTACAATGAATCAACAAGTGGTGAAAATAAAGAAATGTCAAATTAGTAAACTGTCTTCGTATCAACTATCCAACTACAATTGGTCTAAAAAGACATTACCATTTGGATTTAGCTCGCATGTAAATACACAAGACCGTTTCAACATTTTTTAAAGGCACAAATGTGTAGTCCCAACAAAACTTCACAAAGTATGATGCTGAATACATAAGTCAAGATGTATCTACTGAACATCGTGGAAACCTTAAAGCGGGGGATTCGTCACCTACGCATGCCTCAGATGACCATAGCGTGTCATTGTTTACAAACAATCGTCTACCCATGAGCCTTTGCGTTCTTAGCGTATGTTATCATCGCTTGGAACTCAATTCCTCCGCGTGCGCAGGTAACAGCCCTCCTCCCGCTTTAATAACAAGAATCAAATCGTCCGAATTCCATTTATTTTGATAAAATGAAATTAACTCACTTCTGCCCTTCGACTTTCCAGCTCTCCCCGAACTCGTCAACGTCGTTAGCGATATTGCCATTAGGTTTCACAAAGTCGTTATGGCCGTCTCCATCAGCATTACCCAGAAGGCCGCATAATTTACCATTGTAATCAACACCAATGAACGATGCGTCAAACACGTGTCTAAGCAATGTCCAGTTCAATGTAAATGTCGTATTTTTAGACGTGAAAGTTAAGGCCACCATTTTGCCGTCTTCCTCTATTCGTATTCTCTTTGGCATCACAGTATTTCTTTTCGTTGTCCCCTGTGAGAGAAATACATGCGTTTTCAGTAAAAACGTAATAAAAGTAAGTTTTTTACCATGAGTATTTTATTTTTATGATCATGATCTGCATTGTATGATTTCATATACAGTTAGTTGCGAGGATATTCTGTGGAGATACGCACAATCGTTCACACTCTGTGAGAAAAGTCTGGTTGAATATCTCGTCTGTCCTATAAATTGCGCCCTCTAGCGACGGAGCGTCCTGTGGCGTAGATAGGACGACGCTCAGCTGTTATTTTGATTCGATATACAATGTATTGTAAATTGCGAATAACTCCAAAACCTTGTCGTTAGAGGGCGTGATTTATAAGAAAAGTAATTAAGTAGGATTGTCATTAAATAACCTTATTAATGCAATGCAAACAATAAACGAATTTCAAAATTATCTAATTAGCCATTAAAAAGAATATTAATAGATGTCATTTTTTTGTAATGTAATGTAATGTAATGTTGTGTTAATGTAATGTAACATTAATGTTATATAATGTAAAGTCATGTAATATAATGTAATGTAATGGAATGGAAATGTAAGTACAGTAACTACATTTGACACTATGTAACAATATGGCGAAATTAATAAATCAGATATTCCGAATGTTTTCTTGTCAAAAGAGGTCATAATTATAATGGTTGGCACTAGAGTTACCTAGTTCCGAGGCGGAGAGGTATTAAATTTGTCAAATTTTGTCAATTTATCACGATAAAAAGTTTCCAATGTATATGGGAAGCTACAAAAGCAATAACACAAACGAAAATAAACGGGTGGCAGTTATAATACAATATATAAACAAAAAGGTAAGAAATACAGTTAGAGTATTGGGGAAGCGGTTTTAGAAACAAAAAAAGTGAGACGACCATGCCACATATGATATAACATTCAATACGATGTAATGTATGTGTGACTGGATCACGTGTCCAGTGACGTCATACCGTCATTACGTTGAGCCCATCTACAACAGCATACTCGTTACCAAGGGTGACGTTGATGGCAACCGTTCTCGTTCTGAATTCGTCCGTAGTGCTGTATTTCGGAGCTTCGAACTTTGCACTGATTTCAAATGCGGGCTTGGATTTGGAGCAATCTTTGAACAGCGTGTGCCAGCACAGGCCCTGGTAGCTGTATCGACGCCCATCGAACGTTCTCAAATGAGGGTCCCCGCTGACTACTCCATCCAGCCTTTCTGTGTGAATATACCAAGTGATAGTGGTGAGTGTTTAGTGACAATTTACCACAATGGAATTAGACAGAATACATGACATAACATATACAAACTCAGGTGAATCATTCAGCCTGAAAATTTCAATCACGTGGTATGCTTGTCCGAGTACGTCCTCATTAAGTTTACTCCAACACCGCGGAATTCTGGGAGAAATTGCATTTGTTTGGCAAATATGTTCTTGTTTACCAGACGGTGATGACACACTACTTGACCCAACTGCACACACACCAGGAAACCTAGTCTAGTTGCTAGACTCTCGCATAGATTCAAAAATTCAGATACAACTCTCAGAAACAAACAAACAAATGTATGCATATTATATAATAATAATTATAATAATAATGTTTTATTAAATGTTACAAGCAAAATAGTACCCGAGATTCGAACGCGCCATTGAAGGCATGTACGCTACTATGTCACTCTCTGTGTTTTAATCAAGTCGTCTCAAAATGGCGTTCACATCCTGTAAGTTCATAGTTCAAAATGAACGTCCCAATGAACAAACAAACATACATACATTACAACGTTATACATGGTAATCTATCATGGCCGAAATAAACAGTTATGATCATATGCTATATTAACATACTGTTTGGTATATGGTTACCAATATTTGATACACATTTTATCTGCCACACAACTACATACTGTACAACCACTTACCACAGTTATGTATCGCATAGCTACGTACCACACAACTACTCGCCATACAGCTACGTACCACACAACTACTCGCCATACAGCTACGTACCACACAACTACTCGCTATACAGCTACGCAAAGTATCTCTGCCACCACACACCGCCATTTTGTGGTGAAACACCACAAGACTTTTACTACGCGTATCATTCGCGTATTTTGGTTACTAGAGGGCTCTCGTGTTGATTTCTTCATTCTAGTAAACAAGTTTTAAAATATTTTATCGATAGCTGATAATGTTTTTTTCGTAAACATACTGAAAACGGTGATATAGTTATAATTTACAAAAGAAAATAATTTCATCGCGGAATAACGGTTACTAAGGTGTTACTCGGTTCATCAAACTGAGCGTCCTGTCGATTGCCATGCGAAGAAATATGAACAAACGAAAGCACTTCGTAGTATTGACGACTAAATTGTCCTATTGTCACACCGTTTGTGTTACAGAAAGAAAAAAACGAAGCTTCTAACTTTGAAAACAGCCAAAATCTGTAAACAACGCGTACACATTCGTCGGGTTCGAAAATCAAACACTTGCATGGCAATGTTTTGGTGAGCGTCTTTGAAAGTAGTACCGCTGTGACGCATCGACCAATAAACGACAAGCATAAGATCGCGTGGTGGCAGAGATATATTCGTGGAATAGAACTCTGCCTGGGAGATTGACAGCTACGTACCACACAGCCACCCACCACACAGCTACGTACCACACAACTACTCGCCATACAGCTACGTACCACACAGCTACGTACCACACAACTACTCGCCATACAGCTACGTACCCGCATAACTACGTACCACACAGCTACGTACCACACAACTACTCGCCATACAGCTACGTACCGCATAACTACGTACCACACAGCTACGTACCACACAGCTACGTACCACACAACTACTCGCCATACAGCTACGTACCGCATAACTACGTACCACACAGCTACGTACCACACAACTACTCGCCATACAGCTACGTACCCGCATAACTACGTACCACACAGCTACGTACCACACAACTACTCGCCATACAGCTACGTACAGCATAACTACGTACCACACAGCTACGTACCACACAGCTACGTACCACACAACTACTCGCCATACAGCTACGTACCGCATAACTACGTACCACACAGCTACGTACCACACAACTACTCGCCATACAGCTACGTACCCGCATAACTACGTACCAAACAGCTACGTACCACACAACTACTCGCCATACAGCTACGTACCCGCATAACTACGTACCACACAGCTACGTACCACACAACTACGTACCACACAACCACAGTCAGCTTGCGATAAATAAATACGATATTTACTATATGGGGCCGCCATCTTGAATGCAGCATAAAACTAAATAAGAGACAAGTTCTGAACGCGTTTTTCAGATTTTTACAAATCAGGACAAAAATACCAATCTTTCGCAGAAATACGATCCATTGGGATAATAATAAGCCAGCCGATAAGAAAATTCGGTCGAATTCGTCGTTATTGTGTGGAAAAGTCCCTCAAATACGAACACCTAATTACACGAAGAAC